CATGGGGGTGTTCTCTGGTACTAATATTGGCCGACTCATTCACTCACATAGAAAAATAAATGCTGCATTGTGTAAGAATACTGAACAGCATTTTTTTTTCTTTCTCTCTCTCTAAAAGCATCTCAAGTTCCTGGGCTCATCATTATGCAAGATAATACTACTTATACTGTAAAAATGATATAACAATTCTTTGAAGCTGAAAACATGATTGTTATAGCATGGCTCATCCAATGTCCAGATTCTCATTCCAATTGAGAATAATCAGCAATAATGTTATGACAAGGAAACTGAAGACAATGGAACTGCAAGAAGAATGTGACAATATCATGCCTGAACAATGTGACAAATTAATGAAGGGGTTGAAAATTCACAATAAATAAATGAATATATAAAGAATGAGAAAAATATTGGTGATAATAAAATAAAAAACCTGCAATATGAATTAATTTAATAATCTTATCACCATTATCAACAATAATTTGTTAAGCTATTAAACCATAACTATAACAGTAGCTTTAGCATGGCTGAAAAATGACAACAGAAGTTATATATATCTCCAATTGAGAGAAAGATCAGATGAAGTAAAAATCCAGTTTGTAGCATTTACTTTTAAAAATGTGCTCATTACAAAGTAGAGCAATATATTATTATATTTTTATTATAATATAAAAAATATAAAAATATAATTATTATTATAATATATATATATATATGTGTGTGTGTGCAAGAGAAATAATTTAGGAATGTTCCTTTATATTGATTGCATTAAGTTTGTCCTACTAAACTGTCATGTGCTTAACTAGCCTCATCACATCAAGACTTTCATATGGATGTCATACATGGTGCAGATTCATTCAGAGATATCTAAATTGCCAGTTGTATATAACCACTTTCTCAGATCAATGGTTAAAAAAAACCTTTGAGCGAGTGAAACTTGGCAAAGAACATCCTTCTTTGAACATTGTGGACTGGCACTATGGTATCACAAACCAAGAACTATATCAATTAATAGAAAGCACATCACTTCTCAGTTAACAAACTTGAAAAGCCTATTTTCCTGAAAAATTGTTTTAAGAGAAAGATTTTATAGATTTCAAGTGAAAGCAATACTGGCTGCTCAATCAATGAATGCCAAATGTTTCCTTGTAGGAAAATGGTTAATATTAATCATTACCTAATCCCAAGATAAAATGGGTCATTTTTACTTTATTAGAATAAGTGGAGTTGCTCCTTGTGTAACCGAGAAAGATAAGCAAACATACACTAACAGATAGGTGTGCAGATGAAAATATTATGAATATGGGAGATGCAGGTGCATTTGTCTGCTTTTCTGACACCACTGCCAAGAAGTAAAAAAAAAAAAAAAATCATAAGCCAACAGAGATGATTAAAGAAAAAATAAAAGAAAGCTTTATTAAATTTAAAAAGTAAAAATGAGAACCCAGGCTACAGTGTTTATTTACAGGGTAGTTCTTTCAAAATTAAAAAGGCACTTTTGAAGCAAAACCTACTGAACTCATTGGGAAGGGGAGAGCAGTGGAGTTTTTCTCAAAGAAGAAAACAATCAAATAATTTTTTCTTAGTAAACCAGTGATAAAAGTGTAGTTTGTGTTCACTTGTCAGAGAATCAATTTGTCTTTCTCGTTGGTTCTTTGATGTTCATCTTGGCAACAATAAATCTCTTCTTTCTTTTTCTTCTCTATCCTTCATGCTCTTACCATTCATCCACTGCAGAAAACCCACACTCAACTATGCGATGATCATAGGATCTAAAACAATTCTCCTTACCTCCATTGGTAATGCAATTTTTATATTCTTTTCGACAGTTGGAAATTTGCATGTTACCAGCAAAATCTTGTATTTGCAAGAATGTAATGTTTTTAAATATTTGCCTCATGAGTGGCCATCTTTTTTTTTTCTCCTCAAGATTTCTTTATATTCAATGCATGTGCAAACTCTTTGTGTTGGCAGTAAGTAATTTTTTCTTTATTTGCTTTCTCTTTCAGTTCTCCAACCCCCAAAAGTTAACTGGGATTTATCTAGTTGCTTATCATATAGCAAAAAGGATATATACCATATAACTACAGTGAAAAAATATTCTTTCAATGACTGGATATAGTGAATACATTTTTTGAAGATAACAGATAGGATCTAAATGGGTTCCTGTCAATGATACAAGAGACTCTTTGGTGGATTAGTGATATTGCAGAAGATTTAGAATTTCAGCTGCAAGATAAAGTTTATATAGTAACTTTGACCCTCATTGGGTTCCCCAGACTAACTTTATGATAGTCTAAGTTGAACTTAGTAAACATATACTTTTTTTTTTTTTTTTTTTAAGATAAGGGATTATTATTGTTATCTGATGCTTTACATTGACTAGTGTGCTCATCTTAGTAGTAATAAGAGAGTTTGCTGAAAACTTCTTGGCCTGACCATCTTTTCATAAAGATGCATAAAACTAAACTCAGTCAAAATAAAAAAAAAAAAGGAAACTTTGAAGAATCCTGGACTACAGTATGCATCCCTTAAAAAAACAAAATTTATAAATTATTATTTCACTTATGTAGAAAGAAGTTTGAATGACAAAGTTGAAAAATTCTGTGTAACACTATTTACATTCAGACTATTGTCCTCATATTTCTTATTGTTATCACAACGTTTCAGCTGTTGTGCCCTCTGGTCATCATCAGGTTTATATCAATCTGGATAACCTACAGGGAATTCTGAACTGAACCCTTTATTTAATTTACAAGAGTAGACAGTTCTGGTTCCACTGCCCATGCCAAGAGAGATGTTGCCTTATTCTTATTTTTAGCACTATTCATTTATTGTTTGCCCTATTTCCACTAAGTTCAAGTACACACTGCCCAGTCTGTGGATTGAACTCACAATTAATATGTTACCAAATTCTCTGGCTAATGCTTTAATCCATTAGGCTATTGTCTTAATTCTGTGTAATGTGTTTCATTCTCTAAAAAGAATTCATCAAACTAATGTTTTATTAATGGAATTGTACATTTTCATTAAAAACATTACTTTTGTTTGATGCAGTCTTTCTAGAGGACAAAATGCATTTCACAGAATTTTTCCATTTTGTCAGTCATTTGCCTAACATTGTTCTGACATAGAAATTTATATATCATATTCTGCCAATGAAGTCTGAGTAGTAAATAGAGAAAAACGGAAGGATAAGATATTTGAAAGAATCACTGCACATGCTTGACTCTACTGATTTCTTCAATAGGATTAAGAACCTTAAACATAAGATTAAGAAATTCTACCATCTAATTATACTAAAAGTAATGTAAAGTTATATATTCTTGTCCAGTTGAAGAGAGAGAAAAACAACATTAAGGCACTAAGTTTACACCACTAAAATGAGGATACTAGTCCAAGTCTTTCAGGTCACAGAGCCTAGTGGATAAAGGCATTTTTTTTAATCAATTCATCCCAAACAAGGCAATAACACCACTAAGATGCAAGGGGCTACTGAAAGTGAAAGAGAATGAAAAGACTTTAGAAGGAATCAGAAACCTAAACAGGAAAAAAGGGGTTATATCTTTACTCCTGTTCAAAAGACTGGAGAGGAATATGAACCTATCTACTCCTATTGAGGACAAATAGATAAATAGTAAATAAAATTTCAGAGTTTAGGTGAGATGTTAGAAGTAGACTTTACAAAGAACTGGAAATCCAATCCTGAACAGAAAACAAGGGATAAACTTCTACACCTATTCAAAACACTGGGAAGGAGTGTGAACCAGATGATAGATGAACCTATCTATTCCTATTGCATTGATTAAATGGATCTAATTAACTGGTTGGATTGATATACTCTGGTTCTGTGGAAGAGCTAACATGATATTTCTTCAATCATGGATAACAGACTGACAACACTACTTCCATGGAGTGAATAAAATGTCCCATTCAAAAAGGTTAAAAGCTACATATGCCAGAGAGCATAATAGTTGAAATGTAACTATAAGTCAGTGTTGAAAACTTCATTGTCTAATTTAGAAGGGATTAAAAAAAAAAAAATCCTGATGTTTGGTTATTGGTCAGATTTTGAAAGTGGGTCAGGCCAAAAAAAAAAAATAAAAAAATAAGAACAGATTTCTACATTTTGAGTTCTTTTGTAAGCCACTTCATTACTGTTTTTGATTGCATATTTTATTGTTTGCTTCCACACACAGGAGGTAGATGGGATGTCATGTTAAACTAAACTGTTAGAGTCTGATTTCTTGCCATTCATGGCATTTCTATGAGAATTCCCAAACTTTTCTTTTAGCTTATAAAATAATTTCAACTACACAATATTACTATCATTTTTTCTTCAATAAATTAAGGTTACTTATCAATGAGAAACATGAGCTTGATGTTTCTCAGAGATATATTCTATGTAAGGACATTTATGAGATAAACACATGCATTTCATTTTTATTGCTTAAAGTTATTTTTATGTATTTAATATTAGTAAGACAACAAAATTCCAATTCAGATAATTGTGGAGTTGAAAACAAGCTTAAAATATATAAAACATTTTTAGCTAAGCAAGGATATTCTTTCCTAACTGAAAAAACAAAATTTATCAAAAATGTATGCTTGATTTTAATTCAATGATCATTGAGAAGCCGATTTCAATATAACAAAATTTCAAACATATACTAAATATTATAAAAGGGGTTTTGAACCCAATCATAATCTCGTGTGTTTAATTATGGTTTGATTGATTTGTTTTTGCAGCTTATCAACTTTTTTCAGGCTATTTAAAACCAGAAAATATTTTTAGATTGTAAGAATTTATTTGGAGATAATAATGATTTACTGATACAAATTCAACTAATTAACCCATAGCTGAAGGAAGAAAAGGTGGATTCATACCTTTCCAAAGGATATTTATGTGTAAGTGAATATGATGAACATAAATGCAGTTGGAACTCAGTTCTCCAATTTCCAATTCTGAGCCATTATTTATTATACCACCTGAACATCCAAGTTTGCAGCACCTGGTATTCCCAAGTGGTCACCCATCTATGTACTGAGCAGGTTCAATGTTGCTTAACTTCAGTGACTGTACAAGAACCAATGTTTCAATATGATATGGCCATAAATGAAGTTTAATGATAGAGAATAAAAGTTAAATCCCCATGTTCAAAATTTGTCAAATGCTCTGAAATAGCATCCATTTTTTATACTAGATTTTAGTATTAATGGAAACATTTTCGAGTTACTGTCTTTGGCTATTTTTTCTGAAATGCAAAAGTTAATTTGTGTTTGAATTTCTATGATAAGGAGTTATCCTCATTTACATTATTTACACTTAGAATATTGTCTTCATTTTTGTTGGTATTATCAAATTGTTTCAGTTGTAGTGCTCTCCAGCCTTCATCAGATGCTTTCTAACAGAACCATTTATTTAATCTACAGGGGAAGATTGTTCTTGCTATGTTGAACATATCTTGAAATATCTCATCTCATTCTTATTTAGTACTGCTCAGATTAAAGCACTGGTTTGCAAATTTGGATAACAGAGTTCAATCTCTGGGCTGAGTAGTCAGTTAGGTGCTATGTATGATACACACATAAGCAATCATGTATCTTTCAATACATGACTGACGAGACAGATTTATTCCTGCAGTATGTTGCCATTTCTTTCTGCGATAGACCAATTGCCAAGCAAGTCTACAGAACCCGGTCTGTCTTGCTATTTGCCCATAGCTTTAGAAGAGGAGGATTCATACCTTTCCCAATAAGTGAATGTAATGGATTCAACTAGAATTCGAACTCAGCTCTCCAATTCCTCAATCTGCATCGCTGAGTAGTATAGGCTACTAAGCAATACTAAATAAAAACAATACAGTTTATCAGTCAAAATCTTTGCTTTGCATATTTCCACTGATACTGTTTTTTTTTAAACTGTCACTGTTCTAATCCAGATATCAAAAATTCACTTTTAAAATATTCACAGAAACTTTTTCTTTTATTTTCTTAAACCCAAGCAACATTTTGAAAAAAGATAGTGAAAGGTTATTGGCTTAACTCACTTCCAAAAATCTGAGTAAACTATGTCAGAATTTTTTTTCTTTTGGAAGTGTTGGTTGGACAAAGAACTTTTCAGCATTCTCTTGTATATAACAGAGTACCTTACAACTTGATAAACATCTAATTTCTCTGTGAAATTAAGCACTTGTGATAAAAATCAACATTTATATCAATTTGATGAAATAACAGAGTCATTAATGTTTTGTTTTTAATATAATTAACCATTTCAAGCAGTGCAAGAAATTAATGTCATCCTGAGAACGGCAGAACATTAGTTTGAGTTGATACTGGGACAATAACAATTTTTTAATTAAAACCTTTATTGTATTCATAATTATATTTATTTTAAAATTGACTAATTTCTTAAACAAAAAAAATAATTTCAGACCATAGTGACAGGCTTTTAATAAATGGAGCATATGATGCACACAAAAACAAAAATATGAACAAATTTTGTTCTTTTTAAACTAGTGAATGAAATAACTAAAAAATCAATATTGAAGGGCATAAATTTAGATATTTCTATTATTAATCATTAAATGTGAAAAACATTAATATCTTAATAGTATGAAATAATTCTATTTTAAAAAACAAAGCAAGAAATTTTTTTTTTCTGTTAATTTTTGGTTAAAGTTGAATGAACCATGACAAACAATGTTTATATGCTATATTTTCTATTCATAATAAACTAATTTTGAATAAGGGAGAATTTAAAATATGATAAACAAATATGAAGAATTTAGTCACAGCATAAAATAGAATATAAATAAAAACCTTTTTGATAAAGTCTTAAAATATTTCTGATTGTGAATGGTTGGAATTTGCTAATATTTTTATATAGAAAATGAATGCATAAAACAATTTTTAAAATAAGACATGATATAAGTTAGTCTGAACATAAAAACTAATTAATTCAATCATGTGTAAAATTATTCAAGGTGATTTGATCAAAATGTTTGAAAAAAAAAAAAATAAATAAAAAAAAAATGCAATGCAAAGATTACAGTAAAATTCATCAAATTTGTTTTTGTATTTATTCAAATTAGAAATATTTGTGAAAATTCCATGGTTTCCCTATTTGAATTTTCTGATAAATCATAATTTAACTTAAGAATTTTAATGATTTAATAAGGTCATGACAATAAATTATCTGTATAAATTCCCCTATCACATCATTAAATATTTGAGCTTAACAACTTTAAAACATATTGCAATGACAGTCATAAATATGAATACTAATCACTACTTAAAGTGAGGGGGTACAAATCAAAAGATCTGAAATTGAAAAACTTTCATTGCTCTGAAACAAACATTAAACATTTCTATCTTCCCTTCTTTCATTTTCTCACTGAAACCAAATAGCGTCTCTGATATTTCCATGCAATCAAAACAGAATAGTCCATTATTTATGAGGTATTGGCAGGGCGTAACAGTCGTACTAAGGGAGGAAAAGCAGAATGACAAGATTTTAACTTTTTAATTTTTGTTATAAGCTGTACTACTAGAATTAAAAACAAATAAACAATAAAAGATTGAATAGATCAAAATAAATATCTATTTGCTAAACATTTTAATGGTGTTTTTATTATGATACTAATAACTATAGATGATAAAGTTAAAAAAATTGATTTTGGAACAGTTTAAAATTTTTGGAGGGATGATTAAAGTTGTTTTTTGGGGATGGTTCCAGGAGGATAATGAAAATAGTTAATCTGGAGTTTGGCATTTCAACTGTTCCATCTAATACTATTTTTAATTGATAATTCTTTATGAAACCAACACCTATTTATGTAGAAAGCAATGAGTAGATGGTATTAGGATTTCACATTGCAAAACCTTTTATAGTGTCTTTCCTTGATGAAACCCCACCACTGCATATTTCAATATATCTTCCATGGATAAATTCTATTTTTTAAGAAAGCCAGTTAAAATATCAAAGACATTCTGACCTTTTATAATTTTTGGTATTTCTTTGTAAGACAAAATGATTAATGATTTGGTTTCCCCCATCAATAAAACAAATTATTTTCTTTTACTAATGTCAGTAGATTCATTAACTTGTAAAGTGAATTCCAAGTTATTCAGTTTCTTACATTTTCTTCTATATCAGCTGACATATCCATAATTCCTCTATGAATTGTATTATCCGAGAGAGAATAGGTTTTATGCATTCTGCTCTCATCTCCTAATCCTCATCTCCATCTTCTACATGCCAGCAAGATAATCGATGAGTAAAGCAAGTGCCTGCTTTTTTATTGCAATTATTGCAGCTATTTCAATACAGGTGACAAGAATTTTGTCAGAAACTTAATATTTTTTTATTTCAAGGTTTTTGTTGCTGCAACTGCTCTTCTTTTGAAGTACTAAAATAAAAGCTAGATGCAATATCCTGAAATATGGGCAGTTGAACATGAACAATCTACCACTGTAGATTAAATAAAGGGTTCAGTTTGAAGTTCATTGAAGGTTACCTGGATCAACATACATTTAGTAAAAACCAGAGGGTGCAATGGCTAAAACATTGTTATAACAACAAATATAAGGACAATAATCTGAATGTCAATAGTGTAAATAATAACACCTCATCCTAGAAATTCAGACAGAAATTAAGTATGAAGTATCTTTTTATCTCCATACAACAAACAGGTATTTGCAGTTATAAACACCAAAACAGTTATGTCATTGACAATAAAGTCTGTACCAAGTATTTGAGAATACATCTTTGGCAGACTTTAAATGGAAGATGACCTAACAATGTTATGTGGCATATGCCAAATTTCCTCATTTGTCTTTCAGATGTATTGAGTGCATCAACAGGTTGGCTTTTAATTTGACACTAAAAATGAAAAGGCACATGTGCTTGTTAGCCACAAAGACTCAGAAATAGCCAGTTTTTTGAAAGTGGTTAGGTGGGCAGAAGTTATGACCAGTGGCTATGTGCAGAACCCATAGTAATGAATAAGTTTACAGCATCTCTGATGGCTATAGATGTTGCAAGCCACAAGAGTCATATCATGTAGTTCAACTTCTTCCCATAGAGCCTAAGGGTCTCATGTGACCATTTACATGAAAAAAAAAAAAAAGGACATTGTGGTCAAATCTCAAGTCAAGGAGACAGCCATTAATGTTCCAGCAAGATTCTACTCCTTCCAACATGATTGGCTGACCAAGAGTTTTCACAATCTAGCCACCCATGCTCAATGTGTTGGCATATAGCTCTCATGGGCTAAATCCCTTGAATTACTATATCTGGGATGATGTTGAGAGAGAGCCCTACCAGCAGCCACATAATATCAAGGACTCATTGGCTGTGGACATGATGGCCAACATGAATGAAAAAAGAAACATTACATGATCCCTATATACACTTGCTTCTTTCTGATGCCATCCTCAAGACTGGGTGTAGTTTTATTGAATAACCTTTTTCTGTTTCTCTAAGTTGAATATACATACAATCTTTTGAAATTATTCTTATCTTTTTCTGAATATCTTTGTTTTTATAATTTGTTCTCAATTACTTGGCATATCCTATAGAAAAATCAGATGCTGATATAAATAAAAATTGTGGAAAAAGTTATTTTACTTTTTATTAATTTCTTTTATAACTTTGTACATTTTTTCAGAGCACATAGCTATACCTCGTGGCATATAGTCTTGGCACCACTACAAGCAAAGAGAGTAACTTGGCAGTGCCCATCTCTTCATGTATCATTCAGCAGGAAGGAATGGTTTACATGCTATCAAGCATAGGAAAGAATCCCAAACTTGATTTTGAGTCTAATGATCAGAAGAAGTTGTCAAAGTATTCTGCTGGATTGTGGGAATCTGATACCTTGGCTTTTATGGTATTTCAGTAGGTAAGGGTAATTACTTAGCAATGCACTTTCTCTCTAAAGTATAATAGATAGCATTGGGTTAGATGGTACCAGTAACAGTGAAAAGTTTTGACTGGATCACGAACTATTATAGTTTTCCAATAACAAGACCACGGTTCAGGATGACTGGTAAGAAAACAAAGCCTAGGAAGAGTTAGATTTATATATTTTTCTAAAAGGTGTTAGAATGA